TCCCAGGAGTCCAAGAAGAAGGTGCAATGCTGTAAATTGCAATTGTAAAAAAAAACCAGCTCCTATGAGATGAAAGGCCTGTTGTTCAGATGGAAGGTGTTTTTAAAAAGCTTATAGAATTGCGCAGGATCAGAGAGCGTTCCTCCAGCTGCATGAAATTCAGCAGGTCCATGCTTGATTTAAGAGCAAGAGTATGGCTGCTCAACATTCCCTGCCCTTCTCTAACTTGCCACTGAAAGGAGTCAACCTGATATTTAAGAACCTCTGCCATAGGAAACAGTTGGATGCTCCTTGTCCACCGGGGTGGATTAGTTCTATTTATACAAGTTTAATCCTTTGTCATATGAAACAAGCAACACTGTAGCTGAAAACAAAATACAGGATTACCCTATTAAGATGGTGCACTGATTACAGGCACTGCCACTTCATTCCTCCTGTGACTCTTAACTGAGATAACCAGTGATTTTTAGGTAAACTGGAAACCTCACCTTATTTGTCCATACTTTCCCAAACTGTTATGCTGCTTTGATGACTTGAAGGGAATTCTGTAGGTGTTTTCTAAGGCATTTAACAGGACTTAACTTAAAATCCTGAAAGCCTAGGGGCATGGTAAAAAGAAAAGGAAATGAAAATAGCAGCTTGGGATTTTCAGTATGTTTTCCTCTTTAATTCATAAAGAAACTGTTAGTGTTACACTGACTCCTGGCTGAGGACTTGAAGATTTTTTTTCTGTTGCACTGAATTTACACTCATGGAGGAACAAATTCTATCATAAAAAAATAAGGAATTTTCTCATTAAGATGGATATAACAACCTCAAAGCAATCTCACGCATCCTGCAAGATCAGGGCTTTGCACAGGAAATATCCCCTGCATCATATCTATAATCTCTTAACAGACTCCTCTGACTAATTACAACCATTCTTAAAAATATGGAATATGAGCACAGTGAGAAGCAATTGTATATCCACAATCTTCAGTTTGTTTCTTAGTAAAAGAATCTTCAAGACCATCTTTAGTTTCAACAGCACAAAGATCATTTTCAAGTGCCAGCATCTTATCCTAGGGAGGGACTGCTAAGCAAAAACTCACGTAACATTAGTAGATACAGCATTTATCACCGTAAAATTCCCTGGAGAACTTCTCAGCATAGACATGCTGTGATGGGGGCTGTAGGTCACTGGCTTTTTATCCTACAAACCACTCCATACAGGACAACCCACCAGCCTCCCAAACAACCTATTCCTATACTCTCACCTGGGTAGAGGCTGTAGGAAAATTTCAAGTCTGCTTTTGACTTATAAGCAACTCCCTGTCTCTCCTGCTTATTAATGCCTCTGAACAGGAACAGACTAGGGCTTTTCTTATCAGACAGTCCCTTGAGTGCTTTCGCATTGCCCAGATTTGAAAAAACCTGGAAGAAATAAAAGCAGCTGCCCAACTACAGTACCCTCAGTAGGCCTTAAGTGCCAGACTTTTGCTTAGGCTTGTCTTTCACAGCTTCAAAGGAAAGTGTGATTCTTTCTGGAGCCCAGCTGTGCATCTGAGATGATTTTTTTTTTGAGCAATAATACTAACCAGAAGTACATTAACTTCTCAAGGACATACTAGCTTCTGAAATAATCAAGCAATGATTTGGACAACCCCTTCACCTGGTAGGGGATTTTTATAGAAATTTGCACTCCCCCTTTTCACAGCCAAAAGGACAAGTAAGAATTTATTTTGCTAAAAGGAATAGATTGCAACTTGCAGCCATGGAAAATGCAAAATGTATGTGGGTGCTATAATTGCCCCGTGAGACATCCCATTACTCCTGCTTGGGGTTATGAAGAGAGTTTAAACAAGCAAATCAGTTCAGAAGGTATTTTGCAGGCAGACGGGCAGCTGGGAGCCAAAGACTAACAATTCCAAAACTCGGTGTTCACATGTAAAGGACAGAAAGGGAGAATACTACTTGTCTCATAACTGAAAGATTAGATTTCTCTTTTCCTGTGCATTTTAATGTACTTACAAGGTTTCATGAAACAGAACTCCCCGGGCAGGGCTGGGGGGACAAGGAAGTTGTCTGTGCTTGGGAACTGCCAGAGTTACAGCTGTGTAGTAGATGGGAAGACATGCAGACCTGGCACCAGTCTCCCATGTATCACACTGCCATGGAGGACTCAAGCTCTCCCAGCCCTTCACACAGATGCGGATTCCTGATGAAGGTGACCCCACCAGCTCCAAGGTAGGTTGCCAGGGCAGTGGAGTTGCTTCATCAGACAAACATATGGTCAGTTTTTTGTATCTCCTTGCCAGGTGTGATACAGTTGTTACAGGTGTGCTCTGTGTGGTGAGCCAGGGCTGGCTGTGCACCATCCTTTTGTAAGGCATGCCATGAAAACCAAATGCTGTGGGCAGGGAGTGCTGTGGCACAGTGTGCTGCCAAGACCACAGGACATTAATCCTCTGACTTGCAGAATCCTTCATCCAAATACAGAAACTGGGACTGCAACTCCAGAAAACGCACATCTGAAGCATCCCTGAGAGCTTCAAGCTGAATTCCTGATGGTCTGACTTCTTGCTCCCTTTTCAAAGCCTCTCCTTCGTCTTAGTGTTACTGTTCTTTTAGCAGAGCCACTGCGTAACTGAGTATAGCTCAAGTCTCCAGTGTCAAAAGTGGTCATCTCTCACATTTGTGAAAGGTGTGGATGGCCAGCAGGGTTGGAACAGAAACAGGATCTTTGAACCCACCTAAAGTCAACTCAGCTCTGAGCCTGCTCATTAAAGACTACATTTTTCTAATGAGAAGGCTGTTGTACCAATTTTGTGCCAAATCAAGGGTTTGATTAATCCCTGTTCTGACTCAGAGCTCTGAGTTCAATCAAGCTATACAAGTCATGAATTTAGCTCTTAACTTTCTCCACAGAGAATACTGGTTTGGAGGTTTTTTGATGCTGCTTCAGTGAACCTCTCAATTTACAATGCATCTCACTCCAGCAAAGCCTGCAAGCAGACGCATGTGGGAAGTATGTGAGAAACTCCTGAGAGAGGAACTGGACTGCTTCCATACTAAAACCATCACCAGCCTCTTTCACCTGACATCCTTGCTCCTGTTTTATTCTGTGGTAAACAGAGGGCTCCTCCTTCAAGCCTTTGACTTCCCACAGCTGAAATGATGGCCAAAGCAAAGACTCCCACTGCCTTCCCTGGAAGCTGAATCTGTGCCGCGGGTAATGGTTTGTCCCGATGGCAAAGGGGGGGTTTAGGGAGGATGAGACAGCGAGTCCATCCCTTCTGTAACAAACATGTCCACCGTGTCCAGACTGACTAAGGATTTTACCAGACGTGAGTGACATCTGCTCCTGAGCCCTGCCCAGAGATCTTACTACTTAACACTGATTACTAGCCGATAATTGTCCCTGCTGACTTCCACCAAAGTGGAAGTCCCTCCAAATTCTCAGCAAAACCAGACTGTAGCCCCTGCACATATACTATGGCCAAGATTTTTTTCTCTCATGCCCTGTTTTCAGGGCACGTTTTTGATGCACCTTATCTGACCTACATTTCCCTCTTCCAGGCCTGCTCTGGGACCTTACTGGACTTTGCAGCACCTTTTTCTCATGCTTCTTTTCTATTAGGGGAACAGTTTGCTTCTGGCTAGGGACTTACACTTTGGCTAGTTCCCAGATCTGTTGCACAAACATTATCTGTTCTGGATTTCACACCAGAGTGATGGTTTGTCTGAAAGATCCCATTTGCCATTTACCCTACTTTTGCTAGTTTTCCAGCATACATCCTGCAGTGTCCCTTCCTAGCTCCACAGTGCCAATATCCTGATCACACATAGCAAGGCTCCCACACGCTGTCCCTTTTTAAAAGCCCAGTTTCTCAGCAAAACTTTTCAGCCAACATTTGATGAACATCCTAATTATTCTTGCCACCTTCTGCAGTGAGAGTAAACAAACCATTGCATCAGTCGATAAGCAAATTTACATTTTTCAGAAGGATCTGCTATGCAAGATCTGTCAAAACCTCTTTCTACTTCTCTTTCATTTGCCCCTCTTCTTAGCAAACTTTCAGCCTAGGGAAGGCTTAAATAATATATCTCCAAATCCAGGGAGACAATGGTAAAGGGTTACTGCAAGTCACTCTCTTCAAACACCGAACAAGAGACTTTATTTAAAAACAAATAAAAGGCCTAGCCTCCCTACTATACTCTGTCTGTACCCCCTGGAAATTGCCTGCCTGGAAGCTCATGCAGCTTCCTGGAGCTTGCCTTTCAGAGTAGACATCCCCACAGGGACGATCCCGGGATGTCTTTCCCGACATCTCAGGCCAAGAAGCACAAGCAGCATGTGAATCCTGGCCATATACTGCTCCAGCTCAGCAGGAGTAGCCTGAAAAGGACCATGGCTTTGCTACAACTGCTTTGTAGCCCCAACAAGCAAGCGTTTGGCTTGCTGTGAGCCATTTCTCATGCACCCTTTTCCTGCCTCCTCCCTCAGGCACACTGCTTTCACACCAGAAATACTCCCCCAACACTTTTGGAGTTTCTTTCTTACACAGCCTCTGCAAGCCAAGAAAACTGCTCAGATCTATTCAGTAGATTCATTCCTGACAGTCTTCAAAGGATTGCTAATTCCAGTCTGCTTAAAAAAAATGCAGGGCATTCCTCCTCTTACAGCTTTTCTGCCTTCCCTTCTTTCTGTAAGTCAGCACCTGTTGGGCCATAAAACAACACACCATAAACACAGTGCACCTGAAACTGTCTGCAGCTTCAGCAGCTTCTGCTGTGGGCAGGGAGACTGGACACTCCTTGGAAGGGCAATCCAGCTGCCTATACAAAACCAGCTTTCTAGAGGAGAGTGGTTCACCCCTGGCTGGCTTGGATCAAGGGCTAACAAGGGTTAACAGTGTTTGCTCCTCTCTCCATCTCACCCCCTCCTCCTCACTGTGCATTTCAGTCAAAGACCTGCTCCCTGGCCAGCCACTGCCGGGATTAGGCTGCTCCAACAGTCTGGCTGACACTCTGTGCAGGAGCAGGGTCCGGGGGTCTGGAGGCAGCACAGCCGAACTGCTGCGCAGCCCTCCAGCAGGAACTCTAGAACTGAAGGAGCAACAATCACCACTCTGAAGATTTTAAAATTATGCAAGTTTAAAACAACCTTTGAAAACACCCAACTTTAGAAAATACCAAATTTCTGGTGGTTTTCTTGTTGTTGCTGTTTGGGAGTTCCCCCCCACCCCCTTTTTTTTTGTACTTTTCTTGAAAGACTGCAAGTATTTTAGTTGCTATGCCTGCTGAGGAGCCATATGGAAAAATCGGTTCTGTCCTCTTAAACTGGTTGCACAGTTTTGATTTTCATGTGCCTACAGAGATCTGAAAAGTCTATGTCGTTTTATTTTGTGCTTTTTCGGCAGAGAGGGCAAGTGGTCTGTGGATCATCTGGCCAAGAACACAATAGGTAAGCACAGTATTTTTTGTGTGACATATTTCCAAGAGTCTGAGAATATATTGTTTGTGTAATTGGGTGAAAATTACCACAGTCTTTAGGATGATGTTCTCTTTGGGATAAGCTGATTATAGGTTTGTTGATCACTTGGTTTGTTTGTTTTCCTGGACAGAAAAGCTGAGCTGCTGTGGTATCAGTGTGGTTTGCAAGATCCTGTCATTTAAACAGCAGAAAGACCTTTTTTTAATCCTCTCCGAAGGGGCAGAGCAACTCAGATTCCACTGTCAAAGGTAAAACAAAATATTTGGGGTTATATTTTAAATCTGTAAGCTATTATTAGACTACAAGAACAACAAAGTGGCAAAGTGACTCAGAGTCATAAGGAAAGCTCTGTTATAAGAACATTAAAAATGGAATTGATATAGAAATCTTAACTATTCTTTCAGCTTGTTCAGATGAGGGTTTTATCCTGCCTTCAACCAGGTGCTAAAAATATTAAAAACAGGCAGAGAATATATCAACTTTATTTGGATGTTGAGAGGGACATTCAGATGATCTGGCAGTGATAATTTCCATAATAATCTCACTGATACTAAAGATGTGCTTTACTTTGGGAATCACAGATTTTGTACATAAGAACCTACAGATGTATTCAATAGTATGTTTAAATATGCATATTTGAAATGGCATTAAAAAGGAACAGGTCCTTTTATAAAGTCACCTTAATTGCAATGGACAGTGGGTCTGTTGAACTATAGATTTGACTGCCTGAGATGTTCTGCACATTTGCAGGCACCATGAGGAAAGGGCTGATTTCAGAAACAAGTAAAAATTACAAAGAACTGAGCCTTTGTCTTCTGTGTTCTTTTCTATCATTAGCCAATAATCATATTTAACCAGGATATTTACTCTTTGCTGCTTGGAAGATGCAATAAGCTACTTTTCCCTCAAAAAAGGGATCTTGCTCACAGAGCTCCCTCTGCTTTCCAAATCTCTGAGCTACAGCTGGCACCTGTGTTAAAGGTCTATGCCCTTTCCACTTCCATACTTTTCTTTTTCTGAAACTGGATGTGGCAGACAAAAGAGTTCTAAGCATAATCAGTAACCTCACATAGTAGTGTACTGTCAAATTCCTTGTCCTTACCAGAGTGCCCTGTCTGTGTGGCTCCGGACACTGTACACAACCTTTTAAATAACATCAGAAATAATGTCAGCATTTGCTGATGATTTTGGGGACTGGTTGTGTACTTTTCTCTCATAGATGCCAAGCTGGTAATAAAGCCTCCTGGGAACAGGGACACACTTGATTTTTTAAAAATCTCTCATCAGAGTGGGTACAATATAGTTGTTTCTGTGAGCAGCAAATGCTGAGATAGGCTGCAAGTGATGCAGGTATGAAAATGATGGGCAATACAAAAATCTAAGAACAAGATTACTGCCCTACAGTAATAAAGCCTTCCTCCAAATGAGATATATACAAAGTGCTTAGAATCTCCTAAGTGTCAGTTTAGGGATTCTTACCCAGGATTCTCCACCTTTCATCTAGAAGTATCTTATACAACTCTTAATAAGTCTTGCTGATCCTCTTCTCTACACATAGAGAAACAAAAATTCAATGATCTCTGACCAACCAGCAGCAGCAGTGTTTGGGATATAGTGACCTCCTGTGAGTTTGAAAGTGACAGCTCTATTACAAACAGCTCAGCCCTGAAATTTAGGAAATGAACACTATAAACTACAAAAGAATATTTCTGATGTAATTCACCACTCATTCTTTCAGCAGTAAAAGATTTTTTTGTAACTCTCTTGTGATATTGTACCTGTGCTACATTGACCATATTTTCTATAACAAAAGACTTCATAGCAGCTTCTGCCACTAAATCTTTACAGAGAAATCCTCTGAGAAATATCTGTGTGAACTTTAAGCAATTTAGCAAAATGGAGACTGGCACTCTATGAATGCCTGACTTGCTGTGATTATGATAAATACCGGTAAAGGCACAGAAAGTGTCACTGACTATTTTCTCCCCCATGACAGCAGTTTCTATTCACTTTTGTCATCTCACTTTGCAGTACTGAAGATGTCCTGGCTCAGGTTTTATCTGCCTCTCCATGTTCTCATGGCAGCTTGCTTGTGCCATTCCATAAAAGCACCTACCACCAGTTCCCAACAGAGCTTCAGGACTGATCTCTTCAATTTCTACCACTCCTTGATACTTGCTGATGGTAAGGAAACTACAGTTCACCTGATGAAGGATATACCCAAAAGGTAAGAGCAAAATCAGCCACTCCTGTTCTCAAAGACTTCCCTGTGGCACTGGTAGTTGCACACTACCAGCACGAGCCAAAAACCTCTATGCACCTGCAGAGCTGTACCAGTGCACACTGAATTTACGGGAAAAGGCCCATTGCTCAAGTGTCATCCCATTGCCCAGAATCTGGAATGAGCCTCTGAGATGACATTTAGGTTCATGTACACACCTCAGGCAGCTTTCTGTGGTGTTTGTCAGAGCAGCAGCACAGCTGACACACAGTGGGTGGGCTCCAGCAGCAAACAGTTGTGCCACAAACAGCCTGGCTTCAGGACTGCAGAGACGTCAGCTGTCCTACATTCATGGTAAAATACAATTTTACCTAGCAAATTAACTATCCCCAAAATCAACAGAACATCTGCACAGACATCATCTCAGAGAAACTTCTGCCAGTGTCCTGCATGCTTGGAAGTAGTTTTGTTGGTAAGACCAAAAGCACTTTGGATGTGGAAATTCCACGAATTCTATGCTTCCCCAAAATATCTGCAAAGTTTTCTGCCATACCTGGATATGTGGGTGATCTGGATATTACAACTGGTGCTGTATATTTTGGGTAGCAAAGATCAATCTGCTTGTTTGGGAAGAGAACGTTTGAAGGGGTTTAATCAGACTCTACTTTGGGCAGTGACCAACACATACAGATTTTGACATAGACCCAAGTGGTCATGGAGCAGAGGGTGAGCCCAGATGGTTCAGTCTTCACATGAATTACACAGACAGAAACTGGAACATGGCAATATGTTATATAATGTGATGATGCTCACAAGAGCAAGGAGCTCTCCCTGTTAAAGGAAAAGGAGTATTGAAATCTGAGAGACAAGGGAATTTTTCTATGCTCTGGGGGCATATTACAACTGCAATTACGAGGCAAAACCCCTCAGGTTTAGCAGGATCAGGTAAGGTTCTTATGAACCCCAGTCATCCAAACAGAAAGCCAAGAGATGGCAAGTTTTGGCTTGGAGTAAAAGACTCAAGAATGTGGCCCGGTAGCCATATCCTGAAAGTAAGCCAGACCTCTAGGCTTACATGATCTATCCATAATGACTAGGCTTGTCTTACTAATAGAGAAAGAAACCCCTTGAATTGCCTTCATTTAAGTGCAGAGTGAGTGACCCAAGTCCAAACAGTTCTGTGGCCATACACAGTCTGTACAAAACCAACAGAAACAAACAGAGTGAGACAGGAGGTTGAGCTTTTTTTAGACAGAAATCAAAGCTAACCGAAGACACTGATGTCACTTTGTACTGCTCATGCACAGCAGCCTTTGACACAAAGGCAATTAAGGTAGAACTGGCCTGGAGGAAACTGCCATTTACATCTAAAACTGTTCAGGACTGGCTAAAACCACTCTGTTACATCTACTTCCTCTGACACCCAGGAAGACCTAGATATGCAAGCACATATGAGGGAGGATAGGGTCTAAGAGCCTTCACTAAACTCCATTCAGGAAACCCTGGGGATAAGTGTACCAAATTCCCCAGAGTTAGGTAACGGGTGGTTATCTAGAAGGCAGTTCAAGCTAAACTATATCCATCATCCAAAATAACCAGCTCAGGACTAAGATATGATATTCACCTCAAGTGTGCTAAAATTCAGAGGGAAAAATATTGCCTAAGGTACATGAACAAAGCTTTCGGCAAATATTAATCATTAGGGAAAAAAAAGAAAACCCACAGCACATACTCCTCCCACAGCTGGAGATTTCAGGCATTCACATCCCTTTGTGTGGATGCACCTGAGAGAGCAACAGTCATTTCAATACCACATCAGAACAGCTGATTACAAGGAGTCTCATGCAAACTTGAACTGCCTGACACTTTCCCTCTCTTTCTAATCCACATTTACAGGTACTACTTTGTTTTGGAAGAAAGCAGAGTCCTTTCACCTTTCACAATAACTGTGACCCCCTGTGATGTTCCCATCGAATGGAGCATACTTGTGCACAAGGCTTCAGCAAGTTTGCCAGGAAAAGAAACACAAGGTAAGACCTTCAGCACACAAAGTAAGACCTCTGTCAAAGCAGAGGCAAAGAAAGTATAAGTTACTCACAGGGAATTGTGTCACAGGAAATTCCCCACAAGCCTAAACATCTCACACTTCCCTCTCCTGCAAATTGCTGTGGGCTCACCCTGTTTCCATGGATGAAACGTGGGAACCCATCAGATTTTGCCCTCAATTCAAGTAAATTAAGGATTATATGTGAAAAAAGTCTACATCTAAGGTTAATATTTGGGAACAGCTGTGGGTCTTTGAGGCTGCACACAGATCAACTCCATAAGCTCTTTGTACTGGGCCAAACTTGGCCCTGCTGCCTCAGCTCTTTTTCTGTGGCTTAGGTCACTTGAGACAGTCATTTGCTCCCCACAGCAAAGCAGAAAAGATTCATCCATTTCTTCCTCTAGGATTATCATCCACCATGGCAGTGGGCATTATACTGCCAGTAGCCTAAAAGGCAATTCCTTTCTCTCGCATGACTTTTTTGAATTAACATTTCAAACTAAGAATCTGAAAGCTGCCATTAACAAGTCTTACCTGTCAAGCAGGTACACCTGACCAAGTTCAAATTACGCTCCCATGTTTTCCTTCTTCAAAAGAGACAATGGCACAAAACTAATCCAAAGAAAACTCCTATTCTAGAAAGAGTGAGTCTCCTCAAAGTGAAGTACCCTAAGGGACAGCTAATGGAAGAAGAAAATTGTAGGGACATCAGGCATGATACAAGTTAAGCTTTTGCAATCTGTGGTTTCATAATAACAGTGTTTTTGAAAACATAATTCTACAGCTGCACAGCAGAAATAAAAGCTTCTCAAATTTTATTTTAATAAATTGCCAGTAGCAACATACTTTTACTAAAACATATTTTTAGTTATAATTATTGTTTTCAAGAAGAAAATATGATGTGCCCTAACATATGAACAGTAAAACTTATATGATGTGCTTTATTTCACGTTGGTTAAAACAGAAGTTACAAGTCTGCTTTTTGCCTGCAGGTGACCACGATACACAGGAGGTCTCAAAATCTCAGAAGGCCCCAAGCGTGGTGTCCACCATTTTTAACTACAAGGGAAATTCTGTAGAGACTTACATGGGTATGTCTTCTCATTCTGCCCTTTACATGCTGGAGTTCTTATCCACTGAGCGAGACACTCACATTACTGTGTACCTAACAACTGACACAACATCTGGGCACCTCTATCCCGAGCTTCCAATGGATCCACGCATAGATGTTATTGGAGTTGGGCATACAACTGTGACTCTGACCTGGAAACACAGTCCTTCTGTCCTGCAACATAGAGAAAGCATCCAGTACTGTCTCCTAGTTAACGAGAAGCACAACTACAAGAGCTTATGTGCTGCTGAGACAGCAATCAGGTCCTCTGGAATGAAGCTGCCACCTACACTGGCTTTGTCCCTCTCTCCGTACCTTCTCGAGCCGCAGCAGGTGATGATACTGTCCAACAGTGAACTGAGCATCATCAACAAAGTGAGCAGTGGGGAAGTCCGGCAGATCTGCATGGGCACCAAGAACACTTACACAGTGCCCAACCTCAGCCCCAGCACCCAGTATTACTTTGATGTTTTTGTTGTCAACCTCCTCACAAATGCCAGCGCTGCTTACACCGGGACGTTCGCAAGGACCCTGGAAGAACCTGAACCCAAGGTGACCGAGCTGAAAGATGGCAAAGTAATTCAGGTTGTCCTGGATGGGCAAAAGCAGAAATCCTACAGCCTGCAGTACCAGGCAAGGTACAAGAAAGTGCAGTTCTCCTTTCAGTTGTGTCGTGGCCAAGTACAGGTTCACATAACAAGGAACGGCAAAACAGTGGCATCGGAAAACATCTCAGGGCTGAAGTATTTCTCTCTGAAGGGAAAGCTGCTGGACACATATCTGGTGCAGCTGAGGTCCACAGAGGAATCTAACTCTTCTGTGAAAGTACAGGTGTCCCCCCATTTCCACAAGCCTTTATTCCCACTTCTTCCAGAGAGCTTAAAAATCAAGTCCTTCAGTAAACTGAGAACCTGCAACTCTGTGACCATTGCCTGGCTGGGAACACAGGAGAAGAGCAAGTACTGTGTGTACAAGAGAAGGATTGAGGAAGATCAGGTCTGGAGGGAACTGCAGAGTGCAGACAGGTGCTCTGGACCTGAATCTCGGCACAAATCAGAGAAAGTGCTGTGCAAGTATTTCTATGATCTGAATCTCCAGCGAGCCGTCACCACAGAGACCATCAAAGGGCTGGATGCAGGAACACTTTACTTGTTTGATGTTTATCTCTTTGGGCCATCTAGCATCCCTGTCAGATATCACAGCAAAGTTGTGAAGACCAGAAAAAAATGCTGAAGGTTTTAAAGACAAGTTTTGAAGTGAGTGAATGAAGACTTCTCAAAATCCACACCAATCCATGTCATAGCCTGTGCAGTTTAAAATATGCTGAGACAGAAAAAATATAAAGCCATGAGATTCTACAGAGAAAAAAAAAATCTTAGTTGTCTAGATCATTACACTTACTTTTACATCTCCTTGCCTGTGTAGGGTGAGGTTTTTTCTTTTCCTATCTCATTCAGACATCAAAAACAGACCTGTGAAACAAACTCACGTAACGTGGAAATAAAATACCCTAATGGCAACTATGAGAAATAGATTGGTTACCTAAAATGCTTCTGAAATCCAATACAGAAGTGCTGGGAAATGCCTCACAAGAAGCACACATTATTTTCAAGTCCCAGAGAGTTTTCCCACTTTCTGTAACTCACTGAGCTAACGAGGAACTGAGAGACCCTCCAAGTCAGGCTACTCTTGAGAAACTGAACTTCCTCCCTGCTTGAACAGAGGTGGAGACAACAAGAAATTAAAAGAAGCAGTGCAACTGGTGTAAAGCTCCACACCTCGAGTGAAGCAGGCTGAAATGCATCTTCCCCTGTTACCTGCATGTTTGCTTGGTTTCATTTCTATAGAGAAACTCTGCTTGATTAGAAACACAAAATTCAGGCCAGGAACTAGCTCTGGATCCAGCTTTTCTGGGGAGAGTATACAAACACACTGCTGTGCTGCTGCCCATTGAGGAAAGCAGCAAGTGAGGAATCTTGCCACAGAAAGAAGATTTATCTATAACCTCAGATATCGAGCCCCTGTCTATGACTGTGTGACTCCTGAGTGTAATATATTCATTCTTTACATCTTTAAATGAGCCTATATCAATGAATGCATTGCTTTGAGAAAAACTAAATGTGGTTTTCCTATTAAATACCATGGAGGAAAAGAATATTTGTAGTAAAAATCCTGACAAACACTTCTTAGTTGCCTTGTTTCCTTGATTACTTTCCTTAGATGACATGAGATAGTAAAAAAAAAAAAAATGGAAAAAATTCAACCCCCTTGTGTTCAATGTCAATTATCAGCAGAAAATATTTTGCACACAGGCTCTTGAATTTACATATGAATGGATACGATAGATCCACTGACCTCCCAGAGGTTGCCAGAGAAACCTTGCCTGCAGTAATTCTCTTTTTTCTACAATTACACTAAGAAAATACATAAATTATTAGTTCCATTATTGTATATTTCAGAAGTTCTCTTGCAATTCAAGGCCATCAAGGTTCTAGTTTGAGCAATTATTGCCTCCAAGCATGTTTGAAGGCCCTTGGTAAGGACTGAAATCAGTCCTGTGTGCAGACACAGAGGTTTGTGTGTTCCCGGCTCCAAAGTCCCTCTAGCCCTGTGCACCCTGCACAGCACACACCATACATTAGCAGACTCTTCAGTCCCAGATGAGGGGCTCAGGCCTTCACAGGGGAGCAGCTGCAATATCTGGGCTTTGGCTAGGCTTTACATTCCTGCAGGCACCGCTCTGGACTGAGCAGTGCCACAGCAGGAGCCATGTGCTCTGCAGCCTCCTGTCCACACTCCACGGGCCTTTTGGCTGATTACAGGGGCTGGCAGCTGCACTGCCTTCATTCCAAGCCAGGCCTCCTCTTCATTTGGCTCCTGCCAAAAATAATCTGAGCTAAGAGGGCATCAGAGGTCATCTCCACTTGGAAGTCTCGATGTTTTCTGCCTTCCTCCTCCATTTCAGGCATTTATATGCTGGATGAATTTCACTTAGATGCCCTACAACTGACTCTAATAACCATGATAATAATAAAGGAAGAACAGGAAGATCTGATTAACTGCAGATACAATATATTCTTAATCCACTGCCCTCAATCAGACCATTAACCCTTGCTTTAGCCCTCTACAAACGCTACAAAAATGTCACTTGGCTGAGGAAGATACATCAGTATATTGTCCAATATTGGTGCTTCTACTGAAGAAGGTTTTTTACAACAGAACTGGCTTTGGACTTCTCAGCAAAACCTTGGTTTTGTGCTGTAGCCAAGAGGTCTGAGGAAGGTATAGGAGAGCCTGGCAGAGGGCAGAGAACTGAGCAGTCAAAGGTGACACAGAAGCAAAGGCTTGGTGCAGCACCAAGTTGACTGACAGTTAATCAGAACCTGGAGGGAAGGAGTTCAGGTTTGGAGATCAGCAGATATTTCAGAGGGACTTTGCAAAGAGCCAGAAGATTCTCCTCTTCACTCCACCTCTCCCTGGTCATTGTCACATGCAGAGGACTGGCTGAGGCAGAGACCAGTGGGAAGCTCTGAAGACCAAAACTTACAGCTCCTGCAGGCCAGGCTGTGCCCCAAGCAGAGCAGTGACCACTGCAGCCTGATGCCAGTCCCTCACTCAGGAGGAGCTGCCCCACACACACAGAAGGCACCCCATCAGCAAATGCCCCTGTGCACAGGAGAGAGAGCCTGGATGTAGGGAGGAACATGCTGTTCTGTCAAGATTCATTGTCTCTAATATAAGCAGAGCAGGCAACCTGCCCTGCAGGTAACAACCCACTTTGCTTATGTGTGCAGCCAGCCATGCCCTGTAATACAGGCCCCAGGAGCAGCAGGGAATATTCCCCTCTGTTAATCTTTCCACTGTGATCCTGCCTGTGTGCACCAGGCTACAAACCTGATATCAATTCATCCATAACCCTGCTTATGGGGCAGCCTTTGGGTGCACTGGTTTCAGTTGGGTGTCACTTTGCTGACTGCCGTCCTGGAAGTTTGAGAGGTTTATCCACAACAAAACCAAAGGTGCTGCATTACACCATTGCTGCTCTTCCCACCCCTACACAGGCAGTTCCTTAAGTGCACAGCTCCCCATCTTCAGCACTCAGCAGTTCTTTTCTTTCAAGGCTGTTTGGCATCTTTAAAATTTTTTCTCTTCCCATTTGACTAGTCCTTGCCTATTGCAGTCTGACCATAAAATTTCCCAAGCCACATTTACCTACTTTCTTGTCTTCACACTTTCAGCAGTCCTTGCTCAAGTTCCTTCAGTTCAGCCTGTCCTAAGCTGTCACCAGCTCTTCCCATCTGCTCCCCCCATCCTTGCTGAGTCTGAGTCACCTCAGAAGTGCAGACAGATCTCTTCATGGAGAACATCTCAAAAGCAGTGCTTTGCTCTTGTGGATCATTAAATGTAAGTTGTCAACATTGTTATCAGGCCAAAGTATTTTTTCTGGTCTTCAGCAGTGGGTCCCAGCTTTTTTGTGTGCTTCCAGCTAATGTGTCTCATCCTGTCACAGCCAAGATCAAAGGCCATGCACCTCTTCCCAATTTTTACAGAATTTCTACCACTCTCTCCACATGGGAAGTGGGGATCAGGGTACCAAAAGCAGAGCAGACAAGAGAAAACAGGTTTCATTACACATCCACTTCCCCTGCAGGTTCAGCCTCACAAATCCAAACTGGCACTGGTGAAATGAGGTGCTGGTGTCTGAAGCAGTGAAATAATAGAGCACAGGCTAAAGTCTACCATTGTGCATGGCTCTTGGCCATATAGCAGTACAGGGAGAGGCTCTTCAGCATCACCTTCCAGGGTTTCACACAACTGCTACTGATACAAACTTGGAAATATAACCTAACAACAGTAATAATTGCTTTTTAAATTTATACACTTTGAAAGATGCTGCTGCCTAAAACCAGTGTAGAGGTTTCTGACACTGGGTTCAAGGACTGATGACATTTATGAGTTAATATTTAACTTACAACAAGAATAATTTATTTTGTCATTCCTTTTCTCTCCTGTATTTAACAGCCCATTTATTCATTCGTTCCCTATTACTTTGAGTTTCCTAACAAATGTAAATACCCTTCAAAGTGAATCTGGAAGTTTTTTAAGAAATTGTTCCCCATCTGCCCACATTGAGGGATGCACTCACAGCTTTAAGGATTTTTTTTTTTCCCCCAGTTTCATGTTCGTATCTTTGCATGGTTATTTCTGTCTAATGCTTTCCTGCTTGGAAAACTCCCTTCTAGCTTAAGCAACATGTTAAGATAGTTCTGCTATTTTGGCCCCAGGTGCTGGAGGGAAGTCCTGCTCATGGTTTGCTTTCAGACACAGAGCTGATGTTGGTTTAGATGTACACCCAGCACCCTCATTCTGGGCTCCATTATTATTAGCTGTTGGGTTTCGTGGGTAGAATTTAGGAACCACGAACACTGCAGTTAAACATCTTGGACACATGTGGCTTTGCACAAGGCTTAAAATCTAATTTTGAAAGTCAAATAATATTAGCACTGACAGCAAGTCCAAGCCAATGGCCCCAAAATGCCAAAGGCTTTCAGGTGCTCTTAGAGCAACTGAAGCTCTCTGGCATTTAGAGAAAAAATGGATGACTTGGCAGCTGAGTAGTCATTCAGCAAAATAACCCACCCAGGCAAAACAAAATAGATGGTCTTTAGGGATGAAGATGAACAAAAGATGCACAGCTGCTCATGAGTGTTACCTCTCCTGCACACTCCTGCTGTTGATTGAGAAATCAACAGCATAACAAAGCACAAACAGGGCAACGTGCTGCTCTTGCACAACAACAGGTATTTCCTAGGCAAGTCTGTCAAGGAATTTAAACAATAGCATCGTAAAGAGCAGCTAAATTTACTAGAAGAGGCAAACAACAAGTACGTCTTGATCCTGCCTTGCATTCTTCTGCACAGAAACACGGTGTAATTCAAGGATGAGCCCAGAGGACACTGGGCTAACAACCACCGCTGGCATGAGCCGCTGTCGCTCCAGCATCCCCGGGATGCTGCCGGGAGCTGGTCGAGCATCCCAGGCAGCACATGGAATGCTGCGCTGCCGCCAGGTCTGCGGGCACGAGAGGGCACTGTCAGGCTGGATGAGAAGCGGGAAGAGTTGACTTGATAAGGCTTATCAGGAGCAAATATTTCAGCAGATTTAACAAGTCGAGCATCTTTTTGATAATATTATGAGGCAGAATGGATGGAAGGAAAGTCCAAGGAGCTTACATTTTATTTTCTTTTAGCCTTTCAAATCTTCCAAGTTTGAGGGGTTTTCATTTAAAATTACAGTGCAGAAAAAGTGACAGCCAAGGAACAATAAAAGGTAGGCACTTGCTGAAAGGACTGCAACAGCAGTGCTCCCACTGAGATGTTCAACACTGCCACTACTGATGGGACTAAAGCAGCTATAAAACAGAAAAATACTGTGGTGCTGAAGACAGTTACAGATTGCACAAAGTTAAAGTGGGGAGTGTTAGTTCAGGCACAAACTGCCCAGCAAGTTGTGATCCCCATGACAAGTCCCTGTCCTCTCCTGTAGTGCCCTTATCCTGAGAGAGATTCTCTGCAATATTACTTCCCTGTCTCACCAGTTTAGAGATTCACCCCCTACCACAGCTGGATGTCCCATCTATGTATACTCTGGGGCATGGGAAACAGCACAGTTTGACAGGGACTTGTTCCTTGGGGAATTTGGTCACTGACCTTGTAGCCCCTATGAGAGAGGAAGACAGGGACTAAGAGCCATCCCTAGAAAACTGCATCCCCTGACCTATGCTGCTTTTGCACTGAGGAAGGTTCTCTGGAATTCTGCTTCTCTACCTCAGATTTACAAAAGCATTTGAACAAGGACAGCCTTGCCAGGGGGTAAGCACCAGAGCCTGCTGGGTTTTTTAGCAGGTATTGGTATCAGCGACACAGGAAGCACTTTGAGAAGGTGACCCAGGAGCTCAGTTTCAGAAGGTTTTTGTCAGACTCCTATGGTAATTTGCTCTGAAAGCAGAACCCAGTAGGAAGAGAGACCACGAGGTGCCAGGGTGAAAGCAGAAGAAAACCATGAAGAATCAGAAGGTAATGAGGTAAAATTTGAGTTTGTTAGAAGCTTTCAAGGAAAGAAAGGGCCCACATTTGGCACCGAGCTCCCATTTTTGCAAGTCACCTACTCAGGAAGACTTTTTGC